GAGGACGCCACCTTCGAGCTCCGCGTCAAGACCGTCAAGTCTTCAGGGCCTCGAGGCCTCGAGCTTCCTCCGCTGAGCCCGCGGCCCTTCGGCGCGCGCGCTCGGGGGGCGGCGCGCCTTCGTAAGCGGGAAGTGTGAACGCCGGACGATGCTGGCTTCGAGCGCTCGCGCGCCGCCGCGGAGGGTGTACTTTTTCGGGTATAGGGACCTCAACGATAAGGAGGTGCAGGGCACCACTGGCCTAACGCCGGCATCGCATGGGTGCGTGAAAACGTTTTTTTTGCGTGCTGCTCCGCCGCCATGAGCGTCTTCGCGTCGCCGTCGAAGACGACGGTGGACATGGACGAGATCAACAAGGTGCTCTGGCCCGTCTACGTGCGCGCGGCGCTGCGCGGCGCGACGATCAGCCGCTGCGAGGTCGTGGGCACGGTGCAGAAGCGCGAGTGGCTCAAGCTCCTCCGCGGCGGCGGCCTCGACGGCGCCCAGGCGACGCTGGTCTACTACGCCGAGACGGCGAAGCACGAGAGGCGCTGCTTCACGTACAGCGCCTTCAAGCGCGCTCTGTGCGTCGTCGCGTGCCGCCTGGAGCCCGAGCTCCGGCCGAGCGCGGCGTTCGTGCGCTTCGTGGACCGCCTCGCGCCCCGCTGGCCCACGCGGTCGGCGGCGCCCATCGCCGGGGCGCGGGCGGCCTGCGCCGCGGTGCTCGACGCCTTCGCGCCGTGCCTCGCGAAGGTCTTCGCGTTCTTCGCCACGGCCCCTACGACCTTCGAGACGAAAGTCCTCCGGCGCCACGGGGCCCGGGAGGACGTGGACCGCATGCAGCAGTCGCTGACCTTCGCCGGCTGGGCGGGCTTCGCGGCGACCTTCGCCTTCGCGGATCGGTTGGGCCCGGACGCGGTGTCGGCCATCTTCGTCGACTCCGTCGCCGTCGAGGCCGCGGACGAGCTCGGCGGGCTGACGTTGGAGGAGTTCCACGACGCCGTGCTCCGGGCGGCGCTGCTCGTGTCGGCGACGCCCGGCGGCGGCTCGGAGGACATCCCGGGCATCGACCTCGCGCTCAAGCCGCGGCGGTCCGCGCGCGGCGCCGGTCCCGCGGACGCGGACGCGCTCGCGCTCGCCGCCGACGCGGCGCCCCAGCGCGCCCTCGCCGGCTTCCGGGTCATGCGGTCCACGCTCGAGCGCACCGTGCCGCGCGCGACGAACGCGGGCCACGGCACCTGCGCGGGCTCCGCGGGCGGCGAGGCGCGCTGGGCCGGCGGCCGCGCCGTGAGCTCGAACTACTCCCTGCTCATCGAGGGCTCCAAGGAGTTCTCCACGCTCGCGGACCAGTGCTGGTCCAACCTGAAGAAGAACACGGCGAAGCTCCTCGCGTCGACGCGCCGCGCGACGTCGCGCGGCGAGGAGCTCACGGACCTCATGGACGACCTCACGATGACGCGGCCCGCGCCCGACGCCGCGGCGCCGGCGGCCGACGCGGCCGTCTTCGACACGACCCACAGCCTCCTCCGGTAGGGGTCCGTAATTTTCGGCCCGAGGATCGTCGAGGTCTGCTCTAAGCCGGCGCCGGGATATGTTACACGCGGCTTCCTGAAGCACTTTCAAGAAGCCGCGCTTAACATATCCCTCGGCGGGATATGTCACTGGCCGCCCGGCGGTTTCCAGAACTCGAGCACTAGCTTTGTGAGGTCGGTCGGAAACGCGCCGAGGCGGAAGCGGATCTCACACTGGAATTTGAGGTACCAGGAGAGGCAGCTCTGGGGCGCCGTGAGGACACGGCGGTACTTTTCCACGAGCTGGTCGTAGCCGCCGGCATCCTGGACGCGCTTGATGTAGCGCCAGGCGGATGCTTCTTTTGAGTTGGGGTGAAAGTGCGAAAGTTCCGAAACCACTTCATCGTCGAAGGTCGCGCCGGCTCGGAGCAGCGGCCCGAGGCAGCAGCGGTGGCCGCTTTCGACGGCCACCTCGATCAGCACCGAATCATCGGAGCTCACTTCTGCGCCGGCGTCCAGTAGAACTTGAATTGCGGCAGGATGTCCACCTTCAACTGCGGCGCGCAGAGCTGTTGATGTACTTTCGCGCCAGCGCCCAGCTTCGAGCAGCACACGCATCACGTCAACGTGCCCTTCACTCGCCGCAAGGGTGAGGGGTGTGTGTGCGTAGGGAGCAGCGCGGTCCTGGATCACGCCTGCAGCGAGCAAGACGCGCACGACGTCGACGTGCCCATGGAACGCCGCGGCGGGGAGGGCAGCATATGGTTCTCCGGTTTCTCTATCATGCACCTTCATGTCAAACCCCACCGCAATGAGTGCCTTCACCATGGGGGCGTCCCCGTCCTTGATCGCCTTGTACAGCGGCTGCGCCTGCGCATCACCCTGAACCCAAAATCGGTTCGTGTGCTCATAAACATCAAAACTTTCCCCGCCCTTCTTCTCAGTAGCTGTAACCGTAAGCTCCAACAACATGCGACGCACGACCTCCACCGGGATCGACTCGCCCTCGACGGCCATCTCGCTCGACGCGGGCTGCCTCGGCGCCCCGATCCGCGACTTGCAAGCGGTCAAAGCTTGAGTTTATCAACGAGGGTTGAGCACGAAGCGATGGAGCTTTAGAGGCAGCCATTTACGACACACACGCTTGACAGCTGACATGGCGTCCTTCTCGCCCGTGGAGCAGGCGCGCCTGGAAAAGGACCAGGCGGCGGAGGAGCTGCTGACGGTCCTCGCCGCGAAGCACGACCTGGAGGAGCGCGAGCGCGAGCGGCAGCTCGCGACGCAGCGGTCCGACAGCGCGTCGCGCCTCGCCCAGCGCCGCGCGAGCCGCCAGGCGCAGCGGGCGACGGCGGCGCCAGCGAAGCCGGCGCCGCGGCTGCCCCGCGGCCTCGCGGACGTCGTCGGCTCGGACGACGCGGCGTGGCTCGCGGCCGAGGCCGCGCTTCTCGCGGCCAAGCTCGAGGCCTACGACGACGTCGACGGCCTCGATGCCCTGCTCGGCGGGTCGAGCGACGACGACGACGGCGCGCCCGCGGCCGCGGCGCCGGAGCCCGACGACGACTGGGCCGAGTGGGCGAAGCTCTTCGACCTGTCGGACGCGAGGGCCTGGGAGCGTACGCCCCTCGTCTACCACAGCTCGCAGCACGCGTCGGGCCACGGCGACGTCGTCTGGGCCGCGGGCGAGTACTGCGCGGCGCGCATCCTGGCGCACGGCGCGCTCTTCGACGTCGACCTCGGCGGCGCGCGCGTGCTGGAGCTGGGCGCGGGCTGCGGCCTGCCGTCGCTGGCCGCCGTGCGCGCGGGCGCGGACGTGCTGGCGACGGACAACCGGACGCCGGGCGCCATTTTTGCACTGGCCGCGTCCGCGCGGTGGTCGCTCGCGGCCGCGCGCGACCACGGCGGCTCGCTCCAGGCGCGCGGCCTCGCCTGGGGCGAGGCGCCGCCGCCGGGGCCCTACGACGTCGTCCTCGTCTGCGACTGCATCTACGACCCGGCGTCGCACGAGGCGCTGCTCGCGACGCTCGACGCGGTCTTCGACGAGAACGCGGACGCGACGGCCGTCGTCGCCTTCGCGCTCCACGGCAACGCGGCCGACGCCGCGGTTTTCGGCTTCTTCGACGCCGCGCGGGCCCGCGGCCGCGGCGTCGCCAAGGTCGACGAGCAGCAGCTCCGCGTGACGGAGTCCATGCGCGACGTGTGCCAGGTCCGCGACGCGAAGCGGAGCCTCGTCCACGTCTACTTCCTCACGGCCGCGTCCCTCGAGGCGCCCGACTAGGGGGCGGACTCTTAACTCGCCTTCTCCTTGTCCTTCGTGGAGAACACGTGCCGCTCGAGGCTCTTCGCGAGCTCGGCCTGGACCATGGCGGAGAAGGACCCGTCGATGAGGAGCGTCTTCTCGTCGAGCTCCTGGAGGAGGAAGTTGTGCGTCTCGTTGAGGTGGAGCACGAACTCGCGCGTCGGCCCGTCGCACTGGATGAGAGTCCCGCGGCTAAAGTCCGGGGCGGACATGGCTTGTGGTGGTCCTTCGCGGCGCGGCGCGCTGTTGGCGCGGCGCGGTGCGCTGTTGGCGCGGCGCGGCGAGCGCGCTCGCGGGCGTGCGCGGCGCGCCGCGGCGAGCGCGCTCGCGGGCGTGCGCGGCGCGGCGAGCGCTCGCGGGCGTGCGCGGCGCGGCGAGCGCTCGCGGGCGTGCGCGGCGCGGTGAGGTCTTTTGAGTGAGCTTTGCGGGCGCGGAACTCGGCAAAAAGCTATCGGCGCTTTCGCTGCTGCTTGCGCGTTTTTTTAAAGCGCCCGAGGGCCGCGACGATCGTGTCGCGGCGCTTCGCGGAGGCGCGGGCGACGCGAGGCTCGACACGCTCCGGCGGAAGCTGTCGCACGGCACCCACTCACGTTGAAGCCTCGGTGAAGATCGAGAAAACATACAAAAGAGGGTCCTGTCGCGCGCGGCGCTAGGAGATGGCGCACTGGTCGCCGCCGTCGGTCCGCGCGCCGTCGCCGCCGCCGCCGTCGTCGTCGTCGGCGTCGCCGAAGAGCGCGGCGTTGAGGCTCGGCGCGGACATGACGCAGCCGACGGTATCATCGCCGCCCTGGTTGAGGAAGTTGTAGCAGGCGGGCCCGCCGTCGTCGTCGGCGTCCGGGCAGGACGAGTCGACGGTGAGCTCGCTGCGGTCGCTGTCGCGGCGGCCCCGCTCGCTCGCGAAGCGCGCCTTCGTGGCCGCGAGTTTGTGGTGGCTCCGCACGGCCGCCTCGTAGCGCTTCCGGGACGCGAGGTCGAAGACGGTCAGGTCGTCCTCCTCGGCGGAGTTGGACCGCGACGCCAGCGCGTAGTCGTCGTCGTCGCTCGTCTCGTCGATGTCGACGTCGACGGCCGGGCTCGCGCGGCGCGCGGGCCGCGGCGCGAAGCCCCGCGGCGCCGTCGCCTCGGCGAAGGTCATGGGCGCCGGCGACGGGGGCTCGGCGTCGGGCTCGGCGTCGGACCGCGGCGGCGCGCCCCCGGCGGCCGGGGGCGGCGACCGGTCGGCCGACGTCTCGGGGTCGGGCGACACGCGGCGGATCGCCGGCGGCGCGGCGCGCTTCCCGCGGCTCAGGCGGTGCTGCCGCAGGCGGTCCGCCGCCGAGGCGCGCCCGGCGTCGAGGTCCGTGTCCGCGCTCGCGAGCGCCGCCGCCGCGGTCCGCGGCGGCGACGGCGGCGCCGGCGGGAAGAGGCGCGTCGCGAGGGACGGCGCCTCGGCGAAGACAGCGCTGTGCGACGACGAGAAGTCGCCGAACTGGGGCGTCGACCGCCGCGCCGGGGGCGGCGGGGGCTCGTCGATCGACGACGACGACGACGTCGACCGGCTGCTCAGGCGCGCCCGGGGCTCGGCCGGGGGCGGCGGCGGCGGTCGCGGCATCGCGGCGAGGTTCGGTGGCGGGACGGAGCAGCACTGGAACATCAAAGGCGCCGCCGGCCGCCGGAAGGCCGCGACCCGCGACGACGACGACCACGAGGGGGTCTCCAAAGCCGCTTTATTGGGGCAGCAACCTCGCCAGGGGGTGTTGACGTTCCATAATTATGTTGAACGTGCAGCAGCCCAAATAAGCATGATGAGCGCATCGATGCTCGGCCATGCTATTATTTAACTCGTTGGCCTCATTACCGTGAGTTCGGTGCTCGCCTGCAGCCGACCTGAGCTCACCATTGGCGTGGCGCCTCGCGATTGGCGCGGCGGCGCACCCGACGGTGGCATCTCGCACCGATGCGAGCGCTCGTCGCGCTCGCCGCCGCCGCCGCCGCCGCCGCCGCCAGCCGGTCCAAGGACCCGCGCAACCGGGAGGCCTGCGCCATCTACGGCGCGCGCGGCGCGTACAGCGTCGTCACCACGGAGGACCGCATCGCGGGCCGCGGGCCCGGCGCGCCGCGGCCGGCGTACGACTGCACGCTCAAGGCGCCCTACGGCCGCTTCGCCGACGCTGCCGGCGGCGGGCCGCCCATTTTCTAGAGATTCCCAAGGCCGGGTCGACGACGGTCAAGGCCTGGCTCCGGCAGGAGTCCGCGACGAACAAGCGCAACGCGCGCTTCGACGTCCGCAAAAGCTTCACGGTCGTCCGCGAGCCCCTGGCGCGCTTCCTCTCCGGCTACGGCACGGTGCGCCACCGCGGCGCGCACCACTGGCCCTTCAACACGACGCTCTCCGAGGCCGACAAGTTCGAGCGCTTCGTCGACCTGCTGAGCGCCGAGGGCGACGGCTTGGCGCTGCACCGGCAAAGCCCAAGGAGCGGTGCCTCTGGTACCACGCGTTCTCCCAGCTCTTCTTCTTCGAGTTCCTCCCCGGCAAGAAGGTCGACGACGTGCTGCACCTGGAAACGCTGGAAACGGACCTCGCGCGCCTGCTCGCCGCGACGCCGCTCGCCGCGGACAACCGGACGCTCGCGCCCGCGCTGCCGCCGCGGATGAACGCGCGCGAGGGCAACTTCGACACGAGCACGCTGCGCGCGTCGAGCCCGGACGGCATCCGCAAGGCGCTGAGGTACCTGCAACAGGACTACGCGTGCCTGGGCTACGCGGAGCCGCGAGCGCCCGAGTTTTAGGACGTGGCGCTCCTCCGCAAAGTACGCGGGCTTCGTCAGGCCCGGGTAGGCCTCGCGGACGAAGGGGAGGCAGTAGCCGAACGCCGCGTCGAGGCGCCGCCGCGCCGCGACCGGCGGCGCGGACGAGCGCAGGCACTGGCAGGGCGCGCGCGAGACGCCGATCTCGACGGCGTAGTCCGCGCACGTCTCCCGCTTCGCGTAGGCGTCGTGGATGTGGGGCACGCCCGCGGGGCCCGTCATCGTCGGGTCCGACAGGAAGACGGGCGCCGCGGGCCCGTCGTAGGTCAGCGCGAAGCTCGGTCGAGGCGCGCCTTGATCTCGCAGCCCGCGTAGCGCCGCGTGTCCGGCAGCGCGCTGATCGACGGGCACCAGTAGGCGTCCATGATGTCCTGGTCGCCGTTGGTGTAGACGAGGTAGTCGTGCGTCAAGCTCTTCGAGAAGAGGGCCCGGGACACGGCCGCGTCCGTCCGAAAGACGATGACGCTGCCGTGCATCCCGACGTAGCCCCGGTGCGCGCACTCGAAGGCCGAGACGAGCGGGAACCGCGCCCAGCGCTTCGCGACGCGGTGCGGGTCGGCGAGGAGCACGACGTCCAGGTCGAGGTAGACGAACTGGTCCGCCCAGCGGGTGCAATTAAACAGGATGAACTTGTACCGCGTCTTCCAGCCGTCGGTCCGCGCCTGCGGCGCCTGGTTCGTCGTGAGATTGAACCACATCTTCCGCGTCGACGCCTCGTCGACGGCGTACACCGGCCGGAAGACGGCCTTCGTGTCGACCGCCGTCAGGTTCAGCACGCCGACGCGCCGCGACGGGTCGCAGATGCGCCGCTGCGCCTCGACGTCCGCGTTCGACGTGCCGACGAGCACGGGCATCTCCGTCGCCGCGCGGACCGCGCACAGGAACGCCGAGATGCGCGCCAGCGCCGCCCGTCGGAACGCGCGCGGCAAGAGCCGGCGTCCGTCGTCCGCCGGCTCGTCGATCCACAGCGTCGCGATGGCGACGCGCAGCGGCGCGCGCTTGACGAGCTGCACGGACTCCTCGCATGCGCCGCTCACGTAGGGCACGTCGTGCGCTGTCGCCGTCACGAGACGCGCGAGCACGAGCGCGGCGACGCGGCGCAGCCTCATCGTGGCCAGCTGGTGTACGGCCTCGTGTCGGTGATCACTTTCAGGATCGTTGCAAACGCGATGGCCTACGAGCACGCGAGATCACAGCATCTCCGGGGCAGCATTGCGCCTCAGTAGTGTGTGGGATTGTAGGCACAAGTGTAGGCACCATGCTGTCAAGTTGAAGCTTACCAGCCCGCGATTTCCCGGAGCTTCGGCTCGAGGAACCGCGCGACCTCCGCTTGGCCCGCGCGGTTCTTGTGGCCGTCGCAGCCGATGTCGCCGTGGTCCGTCACCACTGTGCCATCGCAGGGCACGAAGACGTAGGCCGCGCGCCGCGCCGGGTTCGCCGTTTGGTAGGCTCCGACGGCGGCTTCCACGTGCGGGCACGGCTTGCACCGGTTGTTGTCCGGGTCGAACGCGGCCTCGGCCGGGCTGCCCATGCCACAGACCGCGGCCACGGCCGGCGCCCCACCGGCGAAGATGCGGTCGAGGAGCGCCGCGTAGGCCGCGGCGAACGTTTCGTTCGACGGCACGTCGCCGCCCTGGTGGTTGAAGTCGTTGCCGCCGAGCGACACGACGGCGAGGTCCGGCGCGTCGCCGTCCCAGGACTCGTTCCGCGTCTGCAGGGACCGCGTGGAGAGCTCCGCCATCGTCGCCTCGCCGATCTGCCAGGGGCTCGCGGCGTTCGCGTTTCGCGTGAGACCCGCGCCGGCGAGCGCTTGTACGGACACGTCCGCGCCCAGCGCCCGGCCCAGGACGCCGGGGTAGCCGTAGGCGCAGTTGGCGTACTCCCAGCCCAGGAGCTTGTCGGCGACGGACGACGTGTTGACCGTGCCGTCGACGCAATAGCCGGCCGTGTCGGACGCGCCGACGAAGTCCACGCGGCGCGGCGCCGGCGCCGCGGCCGCGAGGCCCGGCACGTCGAGGCCGTGGAGCTCGACGACCGACGGCAGGACCTTGCCGACGCCCGCGGAGTAGGGCGTCGCGGACGTGAGCTTGCGCAGCGCGACGCGCGCGGCGCGCGCGGGCAGCGCGACGTCGTCTTTTTGCGGCGCCGCGAACGGCAGCTCGACCGAGGGGCCGACGAGCACATGCTCTTCGAGGACCGCACCGGAAGCGTCGAAGGCCGTCGCCAGCAGGCGGGTGCGCGCGCCGCGCCAGGTCACGCTGAAGCGGCTCGCGTTGACGACGCCGAAGCGGAGGGAAGAACAGGGCCAGTCCGCCGTCGCCACGCCGTCTTCGAAGAGCCAGCGGCCTTCGTAGACGATGCGCGGGTCCGCGGGCGCGACGGCGCGGGCGGCGTGCAGGAGCAGGGCCCGGACGACGAGCATGTTCCGATCGGGCTGCCCATAACGCTATGTTGACGTTCAATTAAAACTGCAATTTTGGCATCGTCTGGACAGAAGGCAATGCGGGGAGCAGGGCAGCGTCGCACGCGGCCGCGAATCCGCGGCGTGGCTTAAAGATCGACTGGATGGCTAGGCAGTTGCGTCTGGAGGCGGAGGATGCCGATGCGAAGGCGCGTTGGGAGGCCGAGGAGGCCGACGCGAAAGCGCGGCGCGAGGCCGAGGCGGCGGGACTCCAGACCTCCACCGACTCCCAGGCAGCGCCCCTACCACCGCCAGACGCTGCAGAAGCCGCGTTCGACCGGGAGGTTCACGACCTTAGTCCTTTTTTGCGAATCTGGCTTCTCGCTACGCTCCGCACGTCAACGCCTCTGCTGCTCACGGATGGCAGCGTGGACAGCGGTAACGACAGGCTCCTCGAGGCGCGCAGGGCCCGGAATGCGGCCGGGCGCGGCCTTCGTCTCCTGCGAGGTCACCCGGAGTTGTGCCAGCACATCTGGTCGTTCGTCGCGAAACCGAAAACGATACTTGGTGCCGCGTCCCGCAATAGAATCGGCTCGGCGCGCATTGCTGCTCTCCAAGACGAGTGGGCCGAGGGCCTCACGCTGACGCGGCTCACGACGGTCGTCGAGGACGGTCCGCCGGCTGATTGGGACACGATTGATAGCTGCGAGGACACGGCAGACGGAAAGGTTTTCGAGGGTATCGATGAATACGGCGACTTCATGCTCTCTGGTTTGCGTACTGCAACTTCAAAGTCGCAGGAGGTCAACGCCGAGTGGACGCACGCCGATGGCTCGAAGCTCAGCGTGACGTACAGCTACGACGAATCCGTGATCTGGCGCTACGTGGGCTGGCCAACTGGAAATATGGTCGACTACGGCGAATCCGGACCATCAGGCGTCGAGGATTGGGCCTATGAATGGGAGCCTGACGACACTGATTATTGGGGTTGCGGTAGCTGTCAAGAAGCATGTGTCATCCGATATCTGACGGACGATCCCGAGACGTCGCGAGACATAGAGCTCGTTTGGCGACAGGCAAGCAATGAGTCGGAGACTTTCGAGGTGCAAAGTAACGAGGAGGTCCAGGGAGATTGGGCGGCGAAATGTGTCGCGCTATCCTGCGCGGCTTGTGGCTTCCTCAAGGAATTAGATTGCGAACCGGATTCCGACCAAGGTGGCGAGATTCTCGACAACGTTGACGAGGTTATGGCGCGGATGAAACTGGTCCCAGGTGTGCCAGACCGAATCCACGGCCAGCCATTCGACGAAACGTTCCCAAAGCCAGATCTCAGACCGACGCGGCGACTTCGCAGGGCCCTCTTTGAAGCCGAGGGGCAAGTAGACGCGACGGAGGCGCGCGCGAAGAAGCTGGCGCGGGATACTCGCATGGCCGCGGCGCGTAACCAATAATAAGCTCGGCGCGGCTGACTAAGAAACTCGAGAGCCGGCCGCTAGAGCGGCTGGTGCGCTGCCCATGGATGCTCACTCTTCACGCCCTTCCTCGACGAGGACGACGGCGGCTGCGTCTACCTGCTCGCGGCGCGCGACATCGCCGCGGGCGAGGAGCTCTGCTTCGACTACCGGCGCGGCTGAAGCGTAAGTATGTTAGAGCGGCCGGTGCGGGTCCTGGTGCATGGCCTGCTTCGCGGCCTTGCGGGAGGCCTTCTCCTTGGCCTTCTTCTCCTCCTGCTCCCGGCGCCGCTTCTCCGCGGCCATGGCCGCGCGCGTGTCCTCGAGGCTCTTCATGAAGTCCTCGAGGAGGCCGTAGAAGGTGCCGAGGTCCGTGACCGCCGGGTCCTCGCCGAAGAACTTGAGCGCGTCGTGGACGTCGCTCCGCGCGGCGTCGAGCTCGCGCTCGAGCGCGTCCAGGTCGAGCGCCGCGTCGCGGTGCCAGGGCCCGACGGCGCGCAGGAGCTTCTGGTCGCCCGCCTTCGCCGCGACCTTGAGCGTCGCGCCCGTCTTCGCCACCGCAGCCTTGATCTTGGCAAAGTCCTGCTTCATCTGGTCGAGGTTCTTCCGCTTCGCCGCCGCGACGTCCGGCATGTCGCGCCGGAGCTCGAGGAGCTCGGGCTCGCGGGGCTCGACGCGCTCGACGACGTAGCGCAATAACGTGATACCCCCGTTCGTCTTCGTGCGCCCCATCTGCTGCAGCGCGTCGAGCTTGATGCCGCTCGCGCCGCCGCGCGCCGTGCCGCGGTTTAAAGCGTTGCCGAGCTTCAGCAACAATAGCATGATGCGCTTGAGCTTGTCCGAGCTCTTGGCCTGCTCCGCGGCCCAGCTCAGGACCTTGGCGTCGTCGCGGATGGCCTGCGCGTCCTCGTCGTAGGTGAGCTTCGCGCGGATCGCGTCGAGCCGCGCGCGGAGCGTCTTCTGCAACGGCGCGACGGCCGCGCAGAACTTGTCCGCGCGGCCCAGGAGCGCCGGGTCGCCGCCGCTTTCCAGATAGGCCGCGCAGGCCTCGCACTCCGCGGCCTCGGGGCAGTGCTCCGCGAGGCCCGCGCAGTTGTCGGCCGTGAGGTGCGCGGCGTCGCAGTCCTCGAGCGCCCTCACGAGCTCGTCGGCCGACTTCAAATCCTTGAACTGGGCCAACACAATATTCAGGTTCTGGACGCGCTTCGGGTCCAGGAGCTGGACGGCCTTGGGCTTCTTCGGCTTGGCCTCCCTGACGACGACCTTCGCGGCCTGGGGCCCGAAGTGCTCGAGGAGGTCGCCGAGCACGGACGCGTCGTGGGCGTCGTCGCCGCCGCCGCCGGCGAAGACCGTGCCCTCGACGTTGTCCAGCTTGGACCAGTAGAGCTGCTTCATCTTCGGGCCGTCGTACTTTTCCACCGCGGGCTTCTTCGGCTGCTTCTCGGCCTTCGCCGCCTCTCCGGTGCCGCCGCCCGCCGCCGCGGCCTTGGCCCGTTCCTCCGCCTCTTTTTTGCGCTTCTCCTCCTCGAGGCGCTGGCGCTCCGCCTCCTCCGCGCGGCGGCGGCCCGCGTGCTTGAACAGCATGGGGAAGAGGCCCGCGGCGAGCGCCTTCGGCCGGAAGAGCTTCCAGAGCTCCGCGCCCGTCATGAAGACGGGCTTCACGCGGCGGTGCGCCGGGTTGTCGAGGTGGTAGAGGAGGCCGTCCTGGGTCGCGGCCGCGGGCGCGGCGCCGCCGGCGCCCTCGCCGCGGCCCGCGCTCCCGGCGCCGACCGCGGGGCCCGCGTCGCCGCCGCCGCCCGCGCCGCCGCCGCCGTCGCCCTCGTCCTCGCCGTCGCCGTCCTCGCCGTCGCCGTCGCCGGACTCGCTCCCGGAGCCGCCGCCGCCGCCGCCGAGGCCCGCGGCGAGCGCGTCGGCGATGTCCGCGCCGCCGCCCGTGTCGCCGAGCGCCTCGCGCGCGGCCTCGTGGCCCTGGGCCGCGGCCAGGGCCCAGTTGCGCCGCGCGCGCTGCAGGTCCGCCTCGACGCCACTGCCGTCCTCGTAGCAGCAGCCCAGGTTGTACTGCGCGCCCGCGTGGCCGCGCCTT